GAAATCAAGGGGATGTGGGTGGAATGAGAGAAGGAGAAAGCATCAAGAAGTAACATTATTGAGTGCGAGAAAAGATCTCTCAGAGTGCTAGGGGAGAAAGAGGAAAGTGGGGAGGGAACAGAAGCAGGGAGCCTTGAATAAAGGGGATGATGAGAGGAAAGTGGGACCCTGGAGTGTGCAAGAGGGAGAGGGGGATGAGATAGAGGGAGGAGGGTGTGTATGCGTGCATTATTGACCACAATTATTGACCCCTGTGGCTCCATCCATCCATTCTGCTGTCTGGGGACTTAAAGTGCATGTGTGGGTGTGCGTGTGCATGTGTGCGTGTGCGTGTGCGTGCGTGTGCGTGTGTGTGTGTGTGTCTTTGATCATTGTTGTCAATATAAGTTAGTGTCTGTGTGTCAGCACATGTGTTGTGTGGCTTCCCCTTACATTACCTCATGCCAAGGAAGTACAGTGTGAGGATTAGAAGGCCTGCCACGTCTGCCGAGCCTGCACAGGGTGCAGAGCGAGGCCCTTTTTAATCCTGCTGAGTGCACCAGCCATATCTGACTGCCTGCCTGTATCGCTACTCACCCTCTCAGCCTCTCTCTTTCTTCTGTTGCTCTCTCGCTCTTGCTTTCTCTCCCTCTCTTTCTCCCCCTATCTGCCTCTGTCGTGAGCATTTTTCATTTTAAACTTACCTGTATGTCATATATCATTATATTTCAAGGGGGGGGGGGGGGGGGGGGGGGGTGGCGGTCTGTGCACTCGACTCATGCTATTGGTTCATTTGTTATTATTGTCTATCTGCAACATTGTAGCTTATTCTCTTCTCCTTTTCTTTGTTTCTCTATTCCTGCTTAGGCTGCACATTCCATGAGGATGACTTCTCCATCAAATGTCCTAAACACGAGGTAAGAAAATGACTAGTGAATGAATGGTCATTAATGCTCATATTATTTCTTTTTGAGGGTTTAAAATACAGCATCCTGCTTTAACAGTGACTCATACATTGAAAAGGGAGGGAGGGTTGGATGGAGAAGATTTAGCATCTCCCAGGGTAACAACCTTCAGATTTGTGTGATTTCATATATTTTCATGTAAAGTGGGCGTCCACAGGATTGCATTTCCATTAGAGCTCTTATAACCTCTCTGCTCAAAAACGCTGTGCATTTGGTTTTGGTTTTTTTCTCCCTCATCCCGCTCCCCATCGCACAAAACATTTGGTTCACACATTTCTGTCACAAGCAACAGCACCGTGGCTGGATAGACGATACTCTGCAGAACAGAAAACTAAATTGTCAGCTCTTGTAAAACAGAAAGAATCAGAGGGGGGAACACAAAGTTTCAAGTTGGTGTTTGTTGTATCACACAACCTATTATCTACTCCAATGACAAGAGAGTCAGGATCTCAACTTGGGCTGACCAATATTTTGTTACCTAATCAATATGTACCCAATGACCTTGGCAAACTGAACCCATATCAGCCACCAGTCGTTGGGTAAATACTCTGTTATGTGACCTGTGTGTATTACTGTCACTCAACACCCACTGTTATGACTGCCTACCGCTGCAATTACAACGGGTTACTGACTGTGTTCATATGAAACGTCCACTCCACAGTCAGCTTTCCTGTAAGACAGACGCCATCTGGTGGTGACGAAATTACACTGCAGCACAAAGAGGAAGGTCAAATGCAGAGGGGAGGGGGGGAGGGAAGTAGAGGGGGAGAGATGCTGACATTCAGCAGGGAGCAGCGGTGCATTGAGGCAGCAGTGGCAGTAGCCTCCCTCCCTCCCCTCTCTGCCTCTCTCTCCCCTTCCTGTTCTCCTCCATGCAGACTGACGGGGATGAAAAGCTGGCTGATGATCAAAACACCCCACCCAGCATCACTGCTTGCTTTCCTACCCTCATGCTTTCTCCACCCTTACCTCTCCCTATTCCTCTTGTTATTTTCTCATGTGCTCGCCTTATTTTGCTTGCTTCACCTCTCATCTCCTGCGAGCTCTCTTTTTTTCCTCCATTTTTTCTAGTTGTCCCCCCTTCATCCCTTCTCATCCCTTCCTTCTTCTTTCTCATCTCATCTTCTCCTCGCCTCTGCTCACCTCAACTCCCACGTCTGAGCAGCAGAAATAGAGTATGTGAAACAGAGAGAAAAAGGAAAGGCAAGACAGAGAGAGTTGTTGTTAGCGAGCTGAGGCAGAGCTGTCATCAGCTAAGGGATCTGAAGGTCTGTGTGTGGGTCTGTGCTGCGCCAATTTAGGCTGAGCAGCCTAATCAAAGAGAAGAGCAGGGACATACGAACACACAGACACACACAGACACAATCACCACCCCACCCATGGGTCCCCCTCTGAAATTCTCCCTCTGCCTGTGTTCACTTGGTTTGAGGGCTGGAACACACATATTGATGAAATCTCACACACATGTAGCGCTAATGGACACACACTGTGCGCTTCTACACAGGTTTATTAACAAGTTACATGTAAGCTCACTAACATATGCACATATTGAGCGGCAGAGAGTGAAAAGACAGTGTTGTGCTGCGGCTGAGTGGGAACAAAAGAGGAATGGGGGCAGTTACATCAGAGAGTGACAGCATAAAAGAGACAGGGATTGGAGGAGAGAAGAAGGGCAAGAGCGACAAGCCGCTCTCAGTGAAGGAGGAATTGAGATTGAGGGGGAATTAGTTAATTTAGGGAGGTAAACAGAAAGAGAGGAGAGGAAGAAGGAGGGAGAGGGAGAGATAAAAGAGAAAAAGCTGCTCTGAGGGCCGGCCATAAGGATGGGCAACAGAGAGAAAGACAGAGAGAGTGAACGAGAGATACTTGGGGGCTGCAGAGGAGGAGAAGGGGAAAGAAAGCGCTCCTCCACCAACACACCGGCGCAATTAGTAGGCGTTCCTGCTGTGTCTTTCTCAGTGGAGCTGGTTCACTGGCCAGCTGCATCCATCTCTCCACCGCTGCACACGGCAGCCAGCTCACCTTCATGTCTGCAGATCTGCACAGAAACACTCACAAAGCTGCAGGTACAGCACATAGCTCCCACCTGCAGAATACATAGACGCACATTTATTGCAGCTTTTGTGTTCATAAAGCACATTTTTAGCACTTAAATAATGCAGATTTTCTGCAATGCTGTGGAAACAATGTGGCAGTCATAGAGGGAATACCTCAAAACCTCTGGCAAAGCTCATTTATCTTCCTCTCTGCGTGTATTTATGAATTCATAGCTGTCTCTCTTCCCTTTTTCTACAGGACCTGTAAGATATTCCAGTTCATCACCTCCAACACCAACACCACCTCTCAGCCAGGAAGGCGTCACTTATCCAGCAAGGCAAACAGAGATGTTGTCCTAACAGCCACCTATACCTAAAAAAACACAAGGATGACTGATGGCGGGCAGGCACATCAAGCCAGTGGAGATGGGGGAGGGTAAAAAGGCTGCTCTGAGGTGGAGGTAGGAGCAATACAAACCCCGGGAGAATGGCTCCGCAGAGAATAGCTGCTCCCTGAACCCCGGCCCGGAAACGTGTTTTCTCAACTGAGCCCCTTACTGGGAGGCAGAAGGCAGCGGCACTGTTTAACAGGAGGAAAGACTGCGCTTTGGAGACTGTGTGTCTAGAGCCCAGTGCACAGGGGGGGCTGCTTAAAATGCAGAGCGAGGAACGTGTGTGTGTTCTGCCTTCGGATGGGTTGCTATCATATTCAGACACCTGGCGGACAGTGATTGGACAGGAGCATCCCTCTGGCCACCTTGTCTGTGAGCCAAGAAGTGTGTCTGTGCGCGTGTGAGTGGGATAATCACGTTGTCATTCTACAGCCACACCATCCGTGTGTTTGGGCATTATGTGTGTGAGTGAAGAAGTTCGTCTCCAAGATGTCATTGCATCAAAAAAGCAGCAGCAGCAGCAGCCAACCACTGGATGTACTATCTCAATGTGTGTGTTTAAAACAAGAGACAAAACGAAACAAAAAAGGAACTGTACATGATGACGTGCTTTACAGGTTCTAAATATTCTGATATTGAAGAGTTCCGAAAAAAAATGGACGCAGTATTTTACTATAATGCTCTTATCTTCGGAGATGTATTTTGATGTGCATTATGACTATACAACATCATTGCGTCACTCTTGGTATATGTCAGGCTTTGTTGTAATTCCGAAATTAACAGAAAAAAATGAAAAAACTAAACTCTGTTCAAGAGTGTTACCCCATTTCAACTGTGTGCACATTCAATATGTACAGTAGGCGACGCCATCATCACTCGACAGGTTGCAAATCGGGGCTCCGAGGGTCCAACCGGGAGTCAGGTCATCTCACCTCATATCTATGTACAGTTCAGAAGTATTACTGTTAAACATTGCCATCATGTATGATTATTTCACCCACAACAACATCGCAGAAAGACACACATTCACTCCAGATTTCATAACACTCCTGTCTGTTCGTGTATCTCAGATGTAGCCTCTTTCACTCTTCCATGCTATGTAACAACGCCCTGGACAGGGTGTGAGTTTAAGTACTGGTCATATCAAAAGGAGACATATTTAAGTATTAGAGCATAAAAGAAAGCCACACCAAACGTTCTCTTTTATGAAGCTCATTATTTAATGGTGTATATAAGTATTTGAAGCTGTTTAAATGTAAGATGTGATGTACTATTATAATTGTGTATAGTATTTCCTAGAGATGTTTATTTTCTATAAAATGGAATATGTTATTGCTTATAAAATGTTATTAAAAGAATCCATTGATGAAAAAAAAATTACCTTTTTCGGGAATGTCACTTGTCATAAGTTGGAGCATGTCGTTTTATTGATTTCCATGTCTATTTGTTTGAAATCGATGACACAGCATCACTTTGTTTGAAATGTTTTTTGTAACGCCAATGTTAAATATACCAGCACCTTTCATGCTGCTATGACCAACGCCTGCTCTTTTTTTGTCTTTCCTGAATACGCACTGACATCAACACCATTTGGATCAGCATGGCATCACCGGGCAAAGGGACCACAATGAGTCAGAACAGTGTTCATTATCAAAATGATGACAACACTTCCAATCTGGTTATACACATATCAAGCAATCACAAGCAAATGATTACGGGTAACTATTACCGATATCAATTAACCTTTGACATTTGCTTACAAAACGCCAAAGGAGATTCAGTTCAGAATAATCACAGATTTTCTTTGGTCAAAACTTGTTCTTGCCTTTTTCATTCAACCACAAGAAGTGCATCATTTCGAGTTTGGAAAAGGGAGACATTTAATTATGTGTATTACAATTACCCCCATTCAAATGGAAAGCACCACAGGAAACTGTCAATCCTTCCTTACAAAATGCTTTAATATTTACATTATAAAGAGATGAAACCGAAGAACAAGGAAGAGATGGAAATATATCAAAGTTAAAGAACACATGAATAACACCTTTAGACATTGCTATGTCTCATTCATCTCAATCCATCATCTTTCAGTCCTTCACATTAGTGACACTTTAAAAAACATGCTCGTTCTGAAACAAAAACACATGCCAACGATTTTCTTACAGTCCTTTAAAAATCAACAACAATGTGTGGTTCTTTAGGAACATTTAACTATAATGACTGAAAGAGCAAGTGTGGCTCTTCGCGTTGGAGCTAAAAAGGAAAACCAGTTTCACTACAGGCCCTCTTTGGATAAAAAACGAATCATTTGAAATGTTCTTCATTGTGTAACTTGTTGCAAAAGTGCAATAGGTTCACTTTATAGTGTTTAATCTTTGTGATGCCAGAGTTGGGCGCTACCAATATGAAGAAAAGAAAAATCGTAGCTGCATACGTGTGCAACAGTGCAAAAGGTCAATTGAGTCAGACGATGTGATGCAAATAACTTGCACTTGATTTTGACACCCATTGCCATGGCAACACATTACAGTAACTCTATTATATGGGCCTGGAGAAAAGCTACCAAATAAACTCAGTTTAGAGGAAGAAAATAAGCATTATCAATCTGCTTTGCAAAATACTTCTTACAGATTATAAATACATTTTGAAATATGTACACGGCAAAACAAATAATGATCTATATGAAAATAACTCCATAAAGCCACATTTCTATTTATCTCGCAGGGCTAGTGCAGATTGACACATGGAGCGTCCAGTGGGTCACCTCTCCTGGCTTCAAGTCAAACTTGATTCAAATAAACTTTAACACTTTGTGAACCGGCGGAGTGGCTTCCCACTGAATGAGCCAATCAAGTCCTTTTCCTCAACGAACAAGCGACGCCTCACTCTGCGGCCAATCAGAGCAGCCCGCCACTCCAACCCACTGAGCAGTCCTGCTTAAGGTGCATTTATGTCGAAAAGATCGGGGTGGGACTGAATAAGTGCAGGGCAAATATCTCTTTCATGCTTCACTCTCACACACACATACACACACACATACACACACACTCACACACTCACTCACACTGAACTGTCTACTTAGAGGACGTGACGGCTCCTCATTGTGGTCAAACTGTGGCACTGCAACCGAAAAAAATTTCTTTTATTCTGGTAATAATCCATAGCAACAAGAGTGTTACCTCTACACACACAGTGCGTCCTGATGTGGGGATTAGGTGTTGGCAGGGACAGTCCATGAGAAAAATCTGTCAGTTTGATATGAATCTGGATAGTTTAGTCAATCTGTTCAATAGCTGCACGCCAGAGATGCCAGAGAATGTGTGGCTGTGTCTCTGCTGATATTTTCTTTTTTGTCTGTGTGTTTTTGTATCTCAGAGATGTTTCTATATACAGTGTCCATACATGTCTCTCAGCCCCTCCCCAACCTTTCTGCTCTCTAGCTGTTGGTGACAGTAGTGCCGCTGCCCAGCTTGATGATCATTTGCTGGCAGTCGTGGAGGGTCCTCTTGTCTCCCAGCTTCTCCAGGGTGCGGGCAGCGTCTGCCAGCATGCCCACCCGTTGGCCGGGGGCCGACAGGAAGGAGGGGGGAAGGTAGCGGCACGCCAGCATCACAGCCTCCGCCTGCTCCCGCTGGCCCGGCCGCGTCTCGCACTCCTCTGCACACAGAAACACAAAGAAACGTTGTTACCGTGGCAATTTCGGAGGAGCTTTACGATGTCATCAGCCACTGACGGACAATAAGACTGCAGCAGCTTCTTGTTTAATTACTGATGGGATTTAGTGTTGTGAACAATTGGGCAAAATAGATTAGAAGCTGATTAGAGCTACTAATTACCGCCATTCAGTGTATCCTAGCTTTTATTTAAAACGAAGCAAGAAAACACACATCTAAAAACGCTGCTTGGAGAAGAGCGGAATCCACAGTTGAAGTTTATCAGTAAGTTTCAAAAGTTTTTATTTGCCAACTGCTTTAAAGTTAATTAATTACAGCTTGATAACTCATTAATATAACTCGTAAAACAATGTGCAATTAAGATTATGTTATCAAAGCCTCCACATGGCTTACAATATCTGAGTATAGTCGATACACAAAAAAACCCTACAGATGCTGAACGCCTGAACACATCTTTAGAAATATGATGCCACCTTTAGTTGGTTTAATAGGCAATCCATAAATGGCAAATACATCAATAAACAGAATATATCCCATCTGGTAAATGAAGGTTTGTGGACAAACATAGAAATAGAACAGACATTTAGAGCAGCAAAAAGTTAACTAACAATTCCTCCTACAGACAAAATTACTTCTTTTTTAAAAACCTTTATTTAACCAGGTGGTCCCACTTGTTGCATAGTTGATGAAAATATTAAAATAAACACACCTGTTTTGGCTCCGGGCGTTGCCCTGCGTCGCAGCGAGCGATCCAGGAGCTGATGTGTGCGGGTGGGACTGGCCCCCGCCATCAGCCTGGCTGTAGCTTCATGAAGGAACAACTGGAAAGAGATGAAGGGAGGTAAATGAGGAGGAGGGATGGTGACTCATACAAATATCCAGCTCTACCTCTTTGAAGCCTAGTGAATAACGCTGCTAAACACTTGCCTCAGGGGTGTGTGTGTGTGTGTGTGTGTGTGTGTGTGTGTGTGTGTGTGTGTGTGTGTGTGTGTGTGTGTGTGTGTGTGTGTGTGTGTGTGTGTGTGTGTGTGTGTGTGTGTGTGTGTGTTGTAACACCTCCCATCTAATTTCCACAGAGAACTGCACCGTGGCCTGCCTGCAAATATGTGCACAGGAAGTATTTGGATGTATATACAGGACGCTATGCACTTCTCTTAATGTGTTGCCATTTTGGCTGACTGTGGCCATTCCAGCCCTTGATGCCTGTGCCTCGATACTTTAAAATCGGTTTATGAGGATTTTAAGAGTCATGTTTTTTCTTTTTTTTTTAATAAACTTTTATATTTATTGAATTTTTGTTTGCATGATTAGTCATGGTTTTCAGTGCTTGACAATACAAACACAGGAGTTGGTGTATTCATCTTGTTTTGTGTCTGTCAATTGTGTTTGGATGTCTGCTTTTGTGTTAGAGTGAGAGGAAATCAAATTAGAAATCAGTCTAGACTAAATGAACGTTTTGCAAGACAATACATTTCCTTTCAACTTTGCAGTACGTACTCTCCGCATGGCAGGCCTGAAGCTGTGTGCCAGTTTGCGTAGGGAGCTGAGATCTTGCTGAAAGCCTTGGAGCTCCGGTGGGGAGGCCTGGTGGACCCCCGCAGGGCCGCTGGTGCCCACCAACCCTGACCCCGCAGGACCGGCCCCCTGCTGCTGCAGGCGCCACACGTTGGTCCTCATCACCAACAGGAGATCACACAAGAGCAACTGGACAACCTAAAGAGAGAAATGGCCAAGAATAGGATACATTAAAATGCTATTGATGCTCAAAGCTGCAGTACAGTAACAGACTGATGACCTGGATACTGAAATTAGAGTGTAATTATTTTTTAAATAACATGGTCATTATTATTATTATAGTGTTAATGTACACGCTAAATCGTGGCATTAATTGTAATTGTAAGAAACAAACATTCAATACTCAGAAGGATAGCACAAAAGATCACAGAGATATTAGCCGGCTCCAGTCAAAGATGAAGGGCATTGTGTGTGTGTGTGTGTGTGTGTGTGTGTGTGTGTGTGTGTGTGTGTGTGTGTGTGTGTGTGTGTGTTCTGCTGTTAGTGGGCCAGCTCTGTGTTGCACTGCAGGAACATTGCACTCCGCTGAGACACACATGCAATGCAACTACAATGCACCACAGCTCTGGCCGCAGACGTGCACACACTGTGAGCTACCTATCCACCAGCATCACCATCTGCTGAGCGCCAGAGGGGAGACCACCACCCTATCACAGAGGAGCTGCTGCAGGGGGGATTCACACTCGGTGGCAAAGTGTGTGGCGTTGTATTGTGAAATATGTGTGTGTGTACTAAGTACTAAGTAATTATGTATGGGCAATTCTCTCTGTTTACAATGTATGCACGCACATGTTTTGGCACATCTGTCCCTCTGTGCATTTGTGTGTTTGCATTTTTTTGTATTTCTAATGCAAATGTGGTTGCCCTCATAAAACAAAAATATAACGAGCAGAGTGCCTGTGTGTGATAGTGTGTGTGTGTGTGTGTACCTTGTCTAAACTGGAGCTGTGGCAGTGGGGTCCGAGGTTGAGGCTGTCTCGAAGCAGAGCGCTGGCCTTGTCGCTGTAGCTCAGACTCAGCTGGCAGTTTTCAGGTTTGGACAGCAGAGCCCGCACCGCCCTGAATGTGTTCAGACACGCCTTGGGCAGAAGACTCCTGACAGAGCGAGGGATCAGAGAGACAGAGGACACAGGTTAAAGAAGTGGAAGTGTGTGTGTATGTGTTCTCTGTGGAAAAAACCTGTGCCACACTCTTAGGCTGGCAGGGGAAGTTCCTGTGTGTTCATGTCAAACTCACTCTGCGTTCTGCAGGCTGCGCGGCAGGTGCTCAACAGTTGGGTACAGTCTCTCTGCTGCGGCGTCATCTCCTTGGAGCCAATTGATAATCACCACGGTAACCGAGGACCACCACTTGGAGTGGGGGTCGCAGCCTGGAAGTTGGAACAAAAACGGTGAAAAGCGAGACACCCACAGACAAACAAACAAATGCAAGTATTTGAATCCCCCATTGCCCACTTTCACATTTAACATGAATTAGAGTGCGGGCACACACACACACGGACAGCTGCTGTCTGCATTCTGACCTCTGAATCAATCCGTTTCACCCCTCTGGCGTAATCACAACATGCGGAGAGAAAGCTGCCATTTTGACGACTCCCTCATTTGGGAAAATTACTCCATTTAACATTTGGGCAACACGAACAAACTTCTGACACTGTGAGCAACCTGAGGCTCTGCCAAGAAAAGTCTCCTAATAAAATCCCTGCTCCCTCCCTCCCTCCCTCCTCTCAAGGTGATCACAGATTTGACAGCACTGAAGATAGATGAAGCAATCTAGTGGATGCCTCCCTTTCACCGAGTCCCCTTTCGCTCAGATGTGTGATCATTGAGGACAAAGGAACGTGGAGGGAGTGTGCAAGTCAACCAAATGGAAATGAGGTTACTCAATCTCGATAGTGTAAGAATTAACTTTATCCATCCACTTATTATTTTGCAAGCACATTAGGAAAATCAAACAGTCAGGGGAAGGTGACTGAAGGACGCTGTAAAGGCAAATTAAATTATCTCAAATAGAAAAGTAGTAATGAAGGAAGGAGCCCTAATCGAAAACTCAATGTGTTGATGGGACCAAGCAACAGAAGCAGTCTTAGTCAGTAAGAGTTTTGGTTGCCATGGTTTGCATCTCCTCGTGTAAATAAAGGACAGGCACTTACCGGTCACAGTGGCCATGTTGGAGCCGATGGCAAAGGACTGGGAGGTGGCTCCAGCAGCATCTGATGCACTTATCAACAACTGGAGATACTCCAGGGCATCAGCATACTCCCTGAGGAGGGAAACACACTGAATGGTTATTCTCCACCACAAATATTACTACCAGTTCATTTTGTAGTTATGCTATCCTTTGTTTATTGTCCAAATGTAATGGTATACACATTTCAGTTTGGCAAACAGTATTAAAAACTGTTATTTTCTCACCCTTCTCCCTGGTCGGGGCTCTTCTCTCCTTGAGGCTGAGCCACACAGTACAGAGCTTTCTCCAGGAGGTGTTCCCTGAAAGCCTGAGTCACCTGGGCCAGAGGATCCACTGTGAGAGCACCAAGAGATCATTAACATGAGGAATACAACTGTGTGCGTGTTCAAAACAGAGGTCAAGGCCACATGGAGTGTGTACTACATTTGTGTCTGCACTGACCAGTATTGCCTGCCTGGCTGTAGATGCTTTCTTTAGGAGTGCTGCGAATAGCCCAATCCCCATCCACAAAGAAGCGATGACCTAGAGGGTGACACAGCCACTGCATAGCTGGAGGAACGCTGCCGCTGGACGACAGGCACGCCTGGCGGGCGCTGCTCAGGAAAACACGCTATCGGGATTAAAAAACGAAGTTAAGTTTCATTTCTAACATAAATTGATTATGGAGAGAACAACACAGCTTATAGGTCACAAATGATGTTTCCTCAGGTCCCAAGGTCATGTTAATTAAACACGAGGCAAACATAACCTCTAAATTACTTGCTGTTAAGTGAATACTATTTGAACTCTAAACAGAATAATGTGCAAAAGCGTCATTCTGACAGCATCCAAGCATAAAATATTCAATAATGTGTCAAACGTAGCAATTGGCTTTGTGCATGTGCAAACTAAGGGGACTTACAGAAGTAAAATGCAGGATCCTTGGCATGCTGGCTTTGACCCGTAGAGCTGCGGACACGTAGACCTCAGCCAGACTGGCTACAGGCAGACAGGAGCCAGCACACTCTGCCAGGTTCACTGCACTCAGAGCCATGTGCACTGCTGACAGGTGGCTGCCATTCAGCTTACCTGTACGCACAGAAATAAGACAAGAAAATTATATGTATATGTTTTGAATATATATATATATATATATATATATATATACACAACAGTGATAGAATAATCAGGAAAAGGCTTTGCAACGTAAGCCAATAAACCTTTTTTCTTCTTATCAACATAAGCTGACTTGTAAAAAAGGGGGACGGAGCTTTAGTCACCTGATATTCTGCCACTACAATTAGCCACCAGATAGTGTGCAGTCTCCCACACCGATTTAATTTAGAAACAGTGTTTTCTCACCAACCCACCTGTCATGTGAAGCTGATGCAGGCGGTGGTAAACCAGGGCGGCGTCCCGGCTGCTTTTGCAGGCGTCCTCCTTCAGGGGGCGGTCAGACCGCAGCCCTCCTGCCCTGGCAGCCAACCAGCGGCCCACCCAGAGGCGCTGGAGGCAGAACCTTAGCAGGGACCAGAGCGCAGAACAGGCCAGGTCCAACTGGGAGATGGGTAAGGGACGACCAAGGGCCTTTAGACACGTCCACAGGTTCTGACTGGCCTGGGCGAAATCTCCCTGGGGAGGAAGAAATAAGAAGAGATCAAATGAAACTCCTCAGGCAGAGTGCTGGCATGTAGAGCTATCCTTCGGAATGTAATGTTTCTTCAAAACGTTGTATCTGTGTGTATTGAGTAAAAGGAAACATACTCTAGCCAGGTCCAGGTCAGCCTGCTTGCGGTGCCTCCAGAACAACACAGAGGATCCAGAGTGTGGTCTGGTTACAGGCTCTCCATACACCAGCAGTCGGACCAGAACCCCCGACACCAGAACACCGTTCACCAGCCACACCAGTAAGGTTGGCAGCATCCAGTCCATCCAGCCCCACGACTCCGCTGCAGAAAACTCTTTTCATTTAATATTTTGTAGTCATCATTTAAACTTAGACCAACATTTCAAGATTGTTGAAGTCATTATTGTCTAATCTAAATTGTTACTTTAAATAAAGTATGTAAAACTTAGTTTACCGTTTACAGTAAACTGTTTTTTTTTTCTGTTTGTTTATTCCACAAGTCAACTTGAATTGATGTTTTGATTATCATCAAGGATATGCTAGCTCCGGTTTCCTTCGCGTCTGATGTGAGACGCCATGAAATACAAATTTAAAATATTGAAATATTTTGTAGTATATTTTGCTAATTAGTTAGCATAATTCAAGGAGAACTTTTAAATTCAAGCATATTCCTTACATTATTGTTAAACATTCCAGAAAAATTGAATATATGTTTTCCACGAAAATCATAACATGAAGTAGGGCTGCTCGATTATGGCAAAAATCATAATCTCGATTATTTGGGTCAATAATTGATATCACGATTATTAAAAAACGATTATCCATTTACTTTGAAAACATCAATTTATTGAAAAAGAAAATGTGTAGTATGTTTTTAACAGTTGATTACCCTGAACTTTAAGTATAATTCAATTGAAAAACCAATTAAAAAAAAAATGTAAGATTCTTTTTTTTAAATAAAAAAAAAAATCGTTTTATTACGATTATGTTATTTTCATAATCGTTGCAAGCCAAAATCGTAATTGCCAATAAAATACGATTAATTGAGCAGCCCTAACATAAAGTCAGGGCCCTTAAATTTCCGAGCAGCTCATTTCTGTGACTCTCTACTGACTTCATTCTACCTGCGATATCCACACCCAGGACGCTCCTTCCTGTGTGAGGTGTGGCTGCTGAGCTTCCAGCTGAGCTGCTGCCGGATGCGCAGAGCAGGGCAGCCAGAGGGTTGAGAGAGAGGAAGAGGAAGGTGAAGGTGCACAACGCCATGCGGGAACGGTCCAACATGCCACCAGCGCTGCCTCCTGCTGCGGATTTGTCCACGATGCCCACAGTAGGCTGCTGAGTTGAAGAGAGACAAGAGAGATACATTTATATAAGCAAAACATAATGATTGACAGAGACTGTAACGTCATATTTTATTCTGTTTATGAAGTACAATGGTGATGGCCCTGATTCTAAATACGGCATGAATCATGCAAAGCTTTAATACCTTAGTGTCCTCCACCATCGGACTGTCGGGCTCTGAGTCACTGCTACAGTGAGAGAAAGAGGTGGGGGAGCCCACGTCAGAAGCAGGTGGGGTGGGCAGCTCATTCTTCACATCAGCTGGTGCATCGACCTCCATGGTAACCAGGTCCTTGAGAGACTCTGAAGAAAGGAAAGAAGCGGAGAACAGTTAGAAGGTCAATCAGCAGTGCAAAAGTAAAGACATCTTCAACACTCAATTTCACCTACTCAGACGCTGTAGAGGACTGTTTTCATTGCTGTCAGTACAGTAGCTAACTAAGACCTCATCACAAAAGGTCAACTGAATGACTTCAAGAAATAGAAATGAATTGTCGAGACCCGTTATGGAATAAAGAAGAGCGACAGGTTTAAAGCACGTACTGTTTTTCTGGGCTGCCATTTTAAACGCCATGTTCTCCTGTTTGAGCTTCTGATTGGTCGACTGCAGGAAATGGATGTAGTCGAGGGTTTTCCTCAGCACTGCAGACTTGTTGAGCTACAAGAAAGAAGAAACATCACATTATAAGCTTCTTCCTCTTTTCAATGTTGATGATTGACAGATCTTTCTTTGACAAGGATATATTGTAAAGCAGATAAATATCTTTCTTACCTTGGCCTCGGAACCAGCCACCAGATCTTTGAGCTCGAGAATTTTGTCATTAATAGAGGAGCGGTAACGCTTCTCAATTGCATTGTGGGCTGTGCGCTTCTCTCCCTTGTGTGGCACGCCAAACGGCTTGCCGCTGATTGCGATGCGGTTAATGGGCATCTTATCAGTGTCCATCATGACTGGCACCGTGGTCAGGATGGTGCCACCGCCCATAAAGGCCTGGAAGGGCAAAGACCGCTGAAAATTGAGAAAGACAGTTCCATAAAGTATGCACAGTAAATCACATTTTGATTATTGTATGAAGTCAGGGTTGCATTTGATGTGCCTACCTGCAGTGAAGTGCTCTGTACTGGGGTGGTGCTGGACAGGGAGGTGGAGGACGCCATAGTGGTCAGCAGCAGAGACTCCGCCTTGATGAACTGCGGCTGCAGCAACACCTGAAAAGATACACACACAAAATAGACAAAATATCAGTATAGATACACAGTTCTGCTCTTGGCTCTGTAAAACACAAACAATGAGTACACTGAATTTGATTTGCATGTAGAAGTACATTCAGATGCCAGTCTGAAACACTTACAGGTACTTGCTGCATTTGCTGCATTTGCTGTACTTGCTGCACTTGCTGCATTTGCTGTACTTGCTGCACTTGCTGTACTTGCTGCACTTGCTGTACTTGCTGCACTTGCTGTACTTGCTGCACTTGCTGTACTTGCTGCACTTGCTGTACGTTGGGTGCGATTGTTTGCAGCGGCGGGCTCACTGACGTGGCCATGAGGGGAGACGTGGTGGTCAGCCCTTGGAGCTGAGCCTGGATGGTCATTGACTGAACACTTGGAGGCGAGGATGACAGGATGGTGGTGGGTTGGCTCACACTGCTGGGACTGGCAGCTGGAAAATAGTTGCAAAATATTATTTTAACCTTCATTCAAGGATGTATAATTGTATGCAATATCCACATTTTATAACATGCCTTTTAGAAACTTGATAATGCATTTCAAAGTTCTAATGTAGTTCTACAGTGTATTGAATCATTGGATTACACTTAATTTATGCAACAACAAAAAGACCCCTATATCCTTAAAATATAAATATTTTTGAACAGTCAGATTCCAGTACTCAAACAACAAACCTCTACTTTGACTTTTTGCAGTTAGAAATCATACAAAAATAAATAAAAGACCAATCATTACATTGCATCAGTGGATGGTATCATCTTATTTCTGCTTTAAGCGCAATCTTTAAAGATTAAGCTGATATATATCAGATTCTAAAAATCCAGTATTTGTACTCCTGTGATGTGGCACATTGTGAAATCTTTTTATGATCTTTGAATCTTAAATGACCTTTCACCTGTTACATCCTTAAAATATTTTATTAGCTACTATTAATCAGATAGAAATAAATACTTGTTATTATTGGTTTAAATGCAACTCTATTACACTTGACACAACATTATTGTCCTGGGTTTCTCGGTCAATAGGTGAAATACAATCCCACTGGAAGTAAGTGTCAGCAGCATTCAGTGTGTAATCTTTTGTTTCTTATCAGCTCTATCTGGGTTGGAATTTACAATCACCTGTCAGTAAGACAAACGTGGAGTTTTAAAAAATAGTAATAAACATTTATTGCATCTAAGACATTATAAAAACAATGTTTATTTTACTACAAAGCATTTTTATTTAGCTCGCAGACTTTCAAACCCCAGAGCAAAGTCTATAAGATTAGGAATTGGATAGATTCAGTTAAGGTTGAATGACCTAGTGCCCATTATAAATGCAATACACTTTGCTGGGCAGTGGGGTTACATTAGGGTGTCAGTTAGGATTATTTTGGAAAATGTCTTGACTTTATATTTATAATTGCACCACATTCAAAAGCTAAAAACCAAAAAATGAAGCATTGTCTAAAAACTGAAACTACTGATCCAAGTATGTCCTAAAAATGTCCATAACGAAATAGAAGCTCTTCTTAGCACTGCAATAAACCCTTATGATGATTAAAGAGTGCTTACTTGTGTAGCTGTTCACGGTGCTGTAGTTGATCAGGATCTGTTGGGACTGAGGCTGGATATGAAGTGCCTGCTGCTGGGGCTGAGACTGAAGCTGAGGCAGGGGCTGGGGCTGGGGCAGAGGTGGAGATGTGGGGGCTGGCGCAGTGAAGATGGCCTGGGGCGTGGAGGTGAAAGCTGGGTTTGGTGCTGGTGATCCATGAGGTGAAGCTGCCTTTGCTGGGGCCGACGGGCTGAGAATGGGTTGGGGCTGCTCCACCTGGGGCTGTCTGAGGGCCTGGGCCTGTGGGGGGGAGGCCGGCTGAAGCCTTTGTGTGGAGTTGGGCACCTTGGCCAGGGGGGACAGCTGAAAGGTGGGAGGCTGGAAGGCCTTGTCTGGGGTGGAGGAGCTGCGGGTGATGGGAGGGCCCAGGAGTGCATCCAGGTGGGGGCTACTGCTTAGGATGGAGGGAGGTGGAGGTACAGAAGTGGTGGTGGTGGTTGGAGGGGAAGGTAAGATGATAGACTGGGTCAATCCAGGAAGCTCTTGGGTGGGAGGGGGCACTGTGTATGGGGGGTTATCAAACAGTCCTCCAAACTCCATGTCCTGGTTGTTGATGAGCTGTAGCATGTCTGAAGAGAGAGAAACATTCACAACTATCAACACTGCCACTGACTTGCAATATGTTTCTGTTGCAAATTGGTTCTAAACCAATATTTACATACATGTTTACAGTATTAACTATATAAGAAAGGGAGAGAGCCCTCATAAGAAAGCTACAGAATAAAATAGTACATTTGCAAAATGCTTTAATCCCTGTATAAAACAAACAAACAATGCAAGCATCAATTACAAATAATAAATGCTGACATACAGAGTAAAAACATAACAAAACTGTGGACAAAAGACCACCCAAGTAACAGATACACATCATTTGTAGTTTCTAAACGTCTTCATCGTCATCATCCCCTGTGCAGTCATACTATTATTATATTGCTGCAGTTATGGGTGAAGGCAGTACAAAAGACGAGCAGAAAACACTCATGTATTGTGAAAAAAGAGTTGTGAAAGTAACATGATTTTGGTCTTGAACATATGAACAGTAGATATCTTGAAATTATCCAAAAGGTATTTTTCCTATATTGAGTAATGAGCTTGAATAATAATGGTTCAAACGGTATACTATTCAAGGTGCATTCAAGGCACTGTTAGATGTATTACTCTAGAAAGATGCAAAATTAACCAAATATTTTATAATCTCCCAATTTGATCTGATGAAGTGGCACACATAGCTGAAAAATAAAAACTGCGTGTATGTTGTATCTGCAGTGAAACGCAGCTCTCTGGAATTACAGTGCACTGTTTTGTATGAGGTGATCGCTCTTGTCCAATCAGAGCGCGTCTCAGGGACTTGCTATGCCGATCAGCCCAAGACAGGGAAGAGAGCGAGCGCTGTCTGTGGCTGCGCGCGAGGTTACCATCGAGCAAAATCACACAGGGTTACTGTCGGTCAAATTTAGGAAGGTGACGACGAGTAGGTCTGCAGGATGTGCTTTACCGAGTACAGTTTACGCAGTGTTGCTTTCACAAATAACTTTTAACAATAACATCTGGATATCTGGAAAATCCCAAGGAAAACAATATTATAATGGATAATTAAACAATGATTTCTTGAATATAACATCAAACGAGTAATGTGAATATCATGGCACATACATAAACAGTTGAATTTATTAAGATTTGCACTAGCTTTCAATATAAAAAGAATAATAAACGTGTAAGAAGAATATCACCATTACACATTCATAAATAGTTTAATTAATTAAGATTTGCACTAGTTTTCAATATAAAAAAATAATAAACGAGTAATGTGAATATCACTATGACACACATATAAGCAATTGATATATTAAGATTTGTACTAGTTGAACATTTTGTGTTACTACAAACGTAAATAAGCACGTGTTTAAACAGGAATACGAAATGTTTCATTGGAGCACATTGTAAGAATAATACTTTTAAGACACATTTTCTGCATATCATGTGTAAAATTGGTCAACCGAGGCGGTGTGAACCCATGAACGAGGAATGAACGGCAGTAACCCCTGTCTGTGGAGTTGGGGGCGGGGCGCACGACCACCTAGCTGCACGTTAGCCTCACCCACTAGCATTAGAATACCCTCTCCTATATTAGGTTAGAAAGATTGTACGATAGCATTCGTTACGATAGTACAAGAGAACAATGTAAACAAGACCGCCTTTCACCTCAGAACCGAAGCAAGCCTCTAAATAAAATGAGTTAGCTGAATAGAAGCTAGTCTAGCTAATGATGAAAGCTACGTTGTGAACTGAAACCTTTAATAACCACTGGTAGGGCTTTAAACTCGTATACATGAGATGTATATTACATATTAGGAGTAAAACACATGATGCAAGCCAACAAAACACACATAGCATGCAGAAGGTTAATTTATAAGCTGTGTTGTTGGTTTAGCTGCAAACCTTAACACGACTGGATTAGCTAGCACACACACTGTCACGTTTCTTACCATCAATGTCGCTTAGGAGAGCCGTGTCAATATCATTCGGGTCATGAAGCGATAGAGTTGGATCCAAGTTATCCAACGAAGGATCGTCAAAAGACATGCTGTTCATCTTTACTCTTGTGTGTGGCTCCAATGTAGACTTGACTGGCTGTAGAATCGCTCAGAGGAGAAACACTTCCCTACATTTGCCAAAACGTCTGATCCAGAGTCTACCTGAAACAACGTGAGCTGTAACTTTTTTTATTGTGTGTCAACTAACTGCTCACTCCTACCCCCATGATCATGCAGGGAAACTTGTCAAACCAAAGCCAAACACTGGAGCTCATTCAGTACTAACGTGCTTACAGAGGCAGCCGGGAGAACCCACCTAGCCGACCTTGATTGACAGGCGCGACAGCCAATCACTGCCTGAGTACCAGGTTCCCACGTCTCCTGTTTCTCAGGGTTGTTTTGATTATTTTACTGAAGGTGACAGCAGCATGTGGAGCTCATGCAGCGAGGGAAGAAATACTAATTGATTCAAGACATATTACTCTAGTAAAATAGAAATGCCACAATCCAAAAAAAATGATATACATGTCAAAGTCAAGATTCAAAATGTTACTGAAGTAAAACTAACACTGTTTCCCTCTGAGATGCAATGGAATAGAAGTATAACGTATTGGATAATGGAGACACTATTGTAAAGGACAATTTTGTCCAAAGTGTAAACAGTACTTGCCTGGGTAAATTAACCTATCAATAAGCATGTTATAGTACAACACACTGGTATAATGGCTCCAGAATACCTAAACATATCTATTGTAAAAGTATTATAACATTGTTATCTACTCTGTTTACATGTCATGTGTTTTATATAAAATCAGGCACACTGTGTATTTTCAGGGAAACAGCATGGATGTGTTTGGTTTATTGTGGGCTTGACCCTAACAGCCAATGAGAGCCAAGCGGGCGTGAGCTACTGAAAGCAAGTTTGTTTGACTCGCACCAGCGGCTCTTCCTGTGGAGCCAGTGAAACCGACCAATGAGAAGGTCAGGAGCCGAGTGGGGTGATCTGACATCACATATCTGAGTGATTACATCATGTGTTTCTATTTTAGCAGCAGGGGAAATAACCTGAAGGATACAGGTGACCTGAGATATTAAAAAATGAAGTCATTTTTAGTTTAAGAAATATATATGAAATACCAAATCCAATAATTGTGGATTTTACACATGTGAATTACAATTGTGTGTACAGATAAACTTCGAATTTGTCTTTGCAAATTAACACTTCTTCAAGTAAACAACAAGCACATATTATTAAAGATGTAAATAAAGGCACACTTTATTTATAGATCACCATCAGCTAAATTAAAGCTATGATGTGAAAACACTGAAAACAAAAGGGGGACACCACAAAAGCATAGTGGGGAAATAGGTCAGTGACCTAGAGTAGCACTGCAAAGTTGTTGTCAGTGACGGGATGTTAAAAGCCTGTCAGCAAGCCTGGTATTGTTGTTGATGGGGTGTGTTTGTGTAAAGGAGCATGTCTTATTCACTTGATTTGGGAAATCTGCCACTTTGCTAGAAGTCCATTCATAGTGTATATGTTTGGTGAAATATATACAAAGCCATTACTAATCCAATTTGTATGCTATAGTACAGAGATGTAAGAGTTTTAAAGAGATGATTAATATCAACCACCAAGATATTATTAAATAACTCACATGCTCCAACATTTAGAGATTTTGTGTGCTTGCAAATGAACGTAACAATTCAATATGAAGTTGCTTCCAGACTGGATCGAGACACTTCAGTCAATGCGAAATGAAAGGAATTTACATGTTTACCAAAACAAACATTTGAACAAATGAGAAACAAGACGTAATAACAGTAGGAGTTCATTTGAGATTGTTTTGAAAGGTGTGTGTAATAGACTGAATATATATATTTTTTTAATTAGAAAGTTAGGTGACTAACAAATATAAAAATGAAGGCAAAACACTAGAAATATGATATAGGGGGACTTTTGTGTAAAATTACAATTCATTTTTAGTTTTGTCTTTCTGTCATTTTCAGTCAATCTAATGAGAATTGTAACAAACCATTAATGTAAACAGGGTAGGCAAAAGTAAGTTATTGCTCTTCTATTTGAACAGAGTGGATCTTATGTACATGAACCAACATGTGGGAGTGGGGGGGGGGGATGGTGGGGAGGCTCATGTGACAATGAATGGTCAGTACAGTGCAAGATTACAGTTGGGTTGCATCAGCATGTGAAGAAGTAGGAAAAGGAGAAGATGCTTGAAATGCAACCTTTTACTGTAAAATAACCACAAACAGTTGTGAGGTAGCGGTCACACATTGCTAGTGTTTTATTGGGCAGTTACATACGTGCATTAGGTCAAACCAAATCTGACCGTTAGTAATGGCAGCAGACAGCACAGCCACACTGGCATGGAAACAAAACTAGCCTCTCTTCCATGTCCACAAACATCAGCTGATTGATCGGCTTCATCAGTATTAAAAGACATTCAGTAACCATTTTGAGATAGCCAAAAATCAGAGGAATACATGTTGCAATCAGGACTCAAGCTTCATAAAAGCAAGTTACACAAAACAATCCGTTACAGATCAAGAGATACTAAACACACAAACTGAAAAATACTCAAGTTCCCTTTTAAAGGATCTCATGTTACATTTTTAATACTACTTTGTTCAGCCTGTAATTGTAGAAGGTTGTTTTAAAGTGGACACAATGGTTGATTGTAAATTTAACGCTATTATCTCAGTTACCTGGCAACCATATTAAACCTGTATAACCACATGCATTAAACAAAAAGTTAAAGCTCATAAATCATTAATCTTACTCAACTAAAATACATGTCAATATTTAACATAATGGTTATGCAGACAGAGAATTTTACAATGTCACCATTGCAATTATGTTAACAACGTATAAGAAATCAGGAATGTTTCCCTTTATACTGACAAGTAATGTTGATGTAGGAATTAAGCTTCTAAAAATGTGGGATGCCCTTTTTAAAGAAAGCTTTTGGTCTTTAATGGACAAAAGGAATAAAATCGTTCAAGTTTTCAAGTGCAGTGCATCAGTAAAATAAACCAGAACCTCAGCAAAAATTGGAATGACAACAGGATTGCTTTTTGCATCAAAGTGTGATCTTAAGTTCAACACAGACAAACTCCTGTCAGAGATACTTTGCTGAAATCAGACATGCTTGGCAGCAGATACAACAGGAGCCGATGAATAATGCTGAATGAAAATAAACCAAGAATAAGTTTGCCTTTGCACAAATCAAAGAAAGTATTGTGTTTGTTTGCTGCCTTCTTCAGCCTCAACCACAAATAAATACATGATAAAGGACCTAAACATGTTTTTACATGAACTACAAAAAATACAATCAGGGGATGAAATGACACATAAACCTCTCTGCCTTCTGGATACGATCCATAAGCCAATACATGTGTTATAACTAAAATTGCTATATTATGAGGTATATAGATTACATAGTTTAGGGTAAATTAAGCTCTTTCTATACGGATACACACTTTACAATAGTGCAATATTGTAAGCTATACATTTTGTACGTGAGTTGATTATGGCGCCACCACTAAGCTATGCTGCTAATTTAGATGCCATATTCTGTCCAGCTATAGCTCATTATTACTATTCTTATACGTTTTTGTAATCATTAATTGAACCCTCTATCAATCCACTTCTGTGTGAACAGCGCTACGATTACAGATACAAAAGTTATGTGCAAGACGAAGTCAATCTTAAGACCTTTTACCATCGCATAGAAAAATAGTAACCATCTCGTAAACACAAAAGGACAAAATACAGTTTTTGCTTCAAAGTGCAGACATTAATATTGTAGGGGAAATAACTGTTCGTGATCCCTTGACCTCTATAACACATGAACATGATTACTGTTCTACAGGTTCATTTCAGAGCTAGTTGTTCATTAAAGCCTTACTATTCTTTGGAATGGCTAAAAAAAATGTTGTAATCGTTCAAAAGCAGCCAACTAATTTATCGTAGCTTGATAGGAAATACTTAATGGGCACGTTCCATCCCCATAGCCATTTAAATTACATAAATAAGAGAATCCTAACTGGTGCTTTTTAGATTTTTAGTTTTGTATTCCCTTTGGTTAGAGGAATGCTGGCATACACATCAAGAGTAGCTATATATATATAGTTTAGCTATTATATCCCTTGTTAAGATCAGCCTGCTTACATACATTTTTTGTCCATACTGCTTCAGTTAATATTACCACATGTTGCTGTCCACACATCCAGTATTAAAAGCGTTACGAAAGCTCTAACTGGAGTATTTGCAGAGAAAAGAAAATGCCTGGATCAACCATAACCACAGCGCTAGTAGTACGTCATAGAACACATCTTTAAAACAATAAATGCATACATTAGCAATTAGCTGAATGTAGTGAAGCAACATAATATAATCCCAATTGTATGCTTCCATACTGACTCAATTCATGGACCTACTGTGAACCTTTCCATTCATTTCGCAGTAATATACCACATTTAAAAACCACATCTGACCAGTTAGGTTGTCTTCCTTTGGTGGAGTGTTACAAATGAGATGCAGGGCCGCGAGTAATACATCCCACAGTAACAGATTAATACATCCATATATAGTAAAGCGCATAACAGTTGTGCACAGTAAACATCTCTGCATGTTAGAGCAACACCGTGGCAAGAGAATGACAAGGAGCTGGAGATAGCTTGCTACACCACTGCCAGCTAGCGATGAAATGGGACAGGAGGGACTGTTTCGGAGGGATCATTTCGGACGAAGACCTTTAGATGCCACTGGAGAGAGATCCAGGGTCTCTGAGAACAGTCTACAAGGCAAAGAGGGCGTCCTCCGTCCGCTCGGCCTTCTTGTGGGAGCCATCAGCGGCACGAGCAGGGTGAGAAGGGTGAGCTCCCGGGGGAGACGGCAGGGAGTCCGAAGCTATTGCTCGGTCCTCCAGGAACTTGTCAAATTCTGAAAGAAACAGATTCATAAAAAAGGGGAAATTAACACAATTTCACACATGTAGGAGTTCATTGAATATAGGCAATTGTGATTCTATACCTTCACTGGTCACCCCTTCCTCAGCAGCATCCCCTTTCTAGTGAGAAGAGAAAAACACCATTAGATAATGTGCACATTTTGGTTTTATGAATGGAGTTTTCTTTGTTTTAGGAGACAGTGATAAACCTTTGTGTTCAGTCAGCAACACAGCAGGCTCTCTGATACACAAGAAGTAACATACAAGTCAAATGCAAGTTCACACAAATCCATACAAAGTCGCTTATGAAGGGTCCGTC